TTTACAATATCCGACTCTATGTTTTCTAGTATCCAAGTAATCACTGTTGAATCTGTTTGCCTCCACTTGATATATTTGGGATCATCAGTTTTGAGAGGTGCGGCAGTGATGTGCTTGAGCCGCCCTCTCCCGTCCAGAGCTAAGCTCATCTTGCGCGCCCAAATGGCGTAGTTCTTATCGTTGAGCTTTTCCGCCAAATTTAACGGTTGATTTGAGGAGCTCTCGGTAAGTTCGGCCTTGGGTGCTAAATTTTGGAAATTTTGCAGAATTTCCAAAATTTGTGCAAGATTCACAGGCTGCTTCATTGGGTCAGACTCCCCTGTGTAGGTGGAGCTCTCTGGAGTTTGTTCAGACATTTTTTATATTTTTTTTATGGTAGATGATGAAAGCTGCGTTTCATTCAATCGTTTGATCGAATGATTGCTCTGATACCATATTAGAAGTAATGATAGAATGAATTCACAGCTCAAATATTCATCTTATTGAATACATCTCTAATGATGTCTATAAATATTACAAAGTTACTAATGGAGACAATCAAGGAAAGTGAGTGGAAGTTAATCAAATATCTTGATTGGTAATTTGATTCCAATCAAGGATATCATCAAGATATTACACTATTCCACACTATTCTTCTTTTTGTTTGATATTTCTAACACCTACCCCTACCCCATTCCCTACCAGAGCATTTCTCACAAGCTTTGTCAAAACCACCAGCACAGTAGATCCTACTTCCAGAGCAGGCGCCAGCAGATGCATGGCGGTGTTCAAGATGTCCAATGGGATCAAGACGCATTCTTGGATTTAACTTGAACCAGTATCCAAAGAAGTAGTCCGTGGGACTGTGAGGCTTTGTGTCTAAAACTTCAATCTGTTTATCATCCAAGGCATAGAAATTGACGCCGTTGACACTCTTCGGGTCATGGGGATAATCAGCCATGTCTATGGCCACAACTACCGATTTCTTCAGTGATGCAAAGGGCGACAAGGTCGACATCTCTGCAAAGTAGAAGAGCAAGAAGAAGATGGCAAGACTTGTTTAACTGTTCTTCTTCAAAATTGTTCACTACCTATGATCACAACCAGCATAATAACTCCAGTCAATGATCAAACAGTAGTTTCAAAAAACCACAAAAAATAGAAAAATTGATGATAATTGCTAATAATGATAATAACAATAACAACAACAACAACAACAACAACAACAATAATAATAATAATAATAATAATAATAATAATAATAATAATAATAATACTAAAAGGATAAGAAGAGGGTTTATGATACAGAAAGCTCCTTGAAAGATTGCTGCAACAAGCAAACGTATCCAAACACAAGAATGATGAATAAACCACTTTTATATCTACGCATTAAAACATAAAATGCTCTACATGCAAACGTATCTTTTATTTAAAAATACCAAATCTCAAGAATCAAATATATAAATTCTTAGACGCAGGTTACCGAATCTCAAGAATCAAACATACTCTCTATTTGTATGAGACGGGGGCGTGCGGAGGTGGATGGATCTACACCGGAACCGAAAGCAAACGGATGGAAAGAACGGAGGAGGACAAACGAGACGATATAAACTAGGGCTGGATTACCATTTGCATAAATTATCCTTAGACCTCTCTTTTAGTATATACTCCCTACGTCCCATTTTAAATTGCATGTTTGCTTTTTTTCTCCGTCCCAAAATAAGTAGCCTGTTAGTTGTTTTCGATAACTTTTAAAAATAAAATACCTAAACTACCCCTAAAATAAGTCACACTTCTTCACCTTATCTTCTCATTCATCATCACCCCTCCTAAAAAGTAATGTCAATTTCGGAAAATCAACTCTATTTTTTATTTTCCTTAAATATGTCCAAAAGTCAAAAAAGACGATTTAAATTGGGACGGAGGGAGTATATACCTTATAATTATATACTCCCTCTATCCTTGAATATTTGTCCACTTTTGACTTTTTTGTCAAAATTTGTAAATATTGACCTCAAATTAAATAAAAATGATACTTCCTCCGTCCTAAAATGTTCTTCCCACTCACTTTTTAACCGGTCAAACTTTAATCACTTTCTTTACCTATTTTCATTAGGTATGTGATAAAATAATATAGTCTTGTCACCACTTGTTTTGTAAAACTTTTGATATAGTTTTTAAATATATAAATTTTATTTTTAAATTTTACACCTACAATCAAATAAATTGAATTGAAAATAAAGTCGGTCAAACCTCGTAAAATGAACCGGGAAGAACATTATAGGACGGATGGAGTATTAAATATTGATACAAAATTAGTTTTATTTGATTGATTATATCATTCATTTACAAAATATTATTTTATCTACTTAGAGCATGTTCTTTTGGGCTTGAACTCTTAACTTCCAGTTTCTTCCAATTCCTTTCCGTTTCTTCCAATTCCTTCCAGTTTTTCCTAGTTCTTCTAGTTTCTTCCAGTTCCTTCCATATTCTTCCAACTATTCTCATTTTCTTCAAACTCTTTCTACTCCCCGATCAATTAATCTAAAAATGATATATTCTTAATGTGATTATTATTATTATTATTATTACTATTATTATTATTATTACAACTGTTATGTTCATAACTATAGTTTATAAATCATTATTTTAATCTCACTATTTTTACGATTCACAGCCATTATTTTTTTTCTTCACCTTTTTAATATAAATAAAGACACTTTTTTGTATATTAAGATGCATGATAAAACAAGAAAACATCAATATGTTAAACTATATTAAAAAATTATGGATAAAATACTGACATAGAATGTTTTTTAATCTAACTTTATATAAGACCTCTTACCTTTTCCTTTATTACTTAAAATTTTCTCATATTCCTAATTATTATAACAAAATTGAAAGTCAAAATAGTTTAGAGAAAAAGACTAAAATAGGAGTAAAACATAAAAAATGTAAAAAAAAATTCTATGTCTTTATTCCAAAAATAGGACTTCAATGAAAATAAAATGCCAATCATGAAAGAAAAAAAGGTTTGATTACATTATGTGACATGTCTAATATTTAAAACAAAATCTTGTAATATATAAAGTATAATTACAAATATATTATTTATAATGAATACAGCTTTAATAAATTGAGGTGCAACGTGACCACAAAAACTTTTTAAAATTTAATACTTTGATATTTATGCTAACTTTATATTATAATTATTTTTTTGGAAAAATAATTTTTTGTAATTTAATGCAGTTAGGAATCTAGAAATTTAGGGCTTGTTCTTTTCACCTGATCTGATTTGAATGCAGTTATATCTAAAGCCGTTTCTGTAAAAATAAATAACAAGTAATGAGAATAAGTTGAAGAGAACATGCTCTTAAACTAAAATGTGGATACTTGGTAACTAGAGTCTGATGGAGTCTAGTTTGATGGATAACTAGAATATTAAGTTGAAATGAATATGTCCTTAGTCACTCATAATATTCCTTTTATTTTTGTTTCATAAATATATATATATACGGTATAGTTGTGTGTGATTTGCCTGGGGACACCATGCTTCCTGGAGAGATGTGAGAGATGCAACTCCAAAGCTAAGATGATGTTAATGGCGGACAACACCATCATCCTATATATCATTTCGAGGTTTTGTAATAATTGATTTTTATTTTTTTGGCTCAAATAAAGAATTGCGATTGGGTTTTGTACACTGATTTGGTAGATAAATTTGTGTTTGTGTTAAGGAACGAGATGCATCAACTCTTGCCCGGCCTGGGTATTTTTTTAAGCTTATAAGCTAGTCAAAATTTTTATAAAACCGTTTTTAACTTATAAGTTAGCTGATGACATGTTTTTTCGTGTTTAAAAGCTGCTTATAAGTATAGAAACAAAATAAGATCTTATCTATTTATCTTCAAGTGAATTTTTTTATTTTTCCGTTTTGACTAGATTATTTTAGAAACTTTTTCTAACCTTTTTTTAATATTCCCAAATGACTTATTTCTAATTTAACTCATTTTACTTCTCTGATAGAATATTTAACTTATAAGTAATTTATAAGTTAAAATTTGTTTATCATCAATAAGCCAATAAGTACCAACACAACATTCGATCTCTTTGTAACAATTGCTTTTAGTCACCCCTTCATATACTTTTTACATTCAACAAAAATTTCTTAGAGCACTAGCAGTAGTGAGAAAAAAATTCCTCACAACTCTCTCTCTACAATTTCTCTCTTCTACCTCACTTTTTTTTGTGTAGAAACTTTTTTTAGTACACCCCAATGGTGAAGTGCTTTTTTCTCTCAATCCCTCCATGCCACACACTCTCTCCATAAAGTTGACGTGGAAAATTTCCAGACGGAGAGTGGAGAAAAAAAGATACACGGGAGGAAATAATCAAAACCCCACTATTGGCATCCAAAACTTGAGAATAAAACTTGAGAATTTCTTCCATGCCTTTGCTAGTGAAGGGGCATGGATGCTCATCTAGTAAATTCTTGTCATGTGGACTTTTTAGGCTCCGTTCCGTTCAACTTATTTTTTCTAATCTGATATGATTCTAATAAGTTCTGATCTGATCTGGTCTGATCTGATTGGATCTGATCTGATCTGAGCTGATTGGATCTGATCTGATCTGATTGGATCTGATCCGATCTGATTGAATCCGATCTGGTCTGATTGGATCTGATCTGATCTGATTGGATCTGATCTGATCTGATTAATTATGATTTAATTTAAAATTTTAAATCAATAATTTAATTTGACTTTATAATAACGTTTGAAAATTGTAATGATAATTCATATTATAATATAATCAACATTTTTTATTTAATGATTATTTTTTAATAAAATAAAAATAGTCAATTCATATATTAGAATAATCATTCATATTATAATGTAATAATATTTTTATTTTATGATTATTTTTTTTTGTAAAATTAGAATTATACATTAGAATAAATATTTAATTTAGATATATATTAAAAAATAATTAAATTTTGATAATCAATATATAGAAGAGATAGTATTTTTATTAAAATATCTCATCCTTATAAAAGATCAAAAGTTTAGAAACTCAAATTACAAGTAGCAATAAAAATATATTTTAAAAGTAGAATTAGATTGACAATGTAATAATGATGATGATGATGATGATGATGATGATGATAATGATAGTGATAATAATAATAATAATAATAATAATAATAATAATAATAATAATAATAATAATAATAATAATAATAATTCTTGATGGGATCTGATTTTAATAAGTCCTGATCTGATCTGATATGATAATAATAATGATAATGATAATAATAAGAATAATAATAATAATAATAATAATAATAATTCTTGATGGGATCTGATTTTAATAAGTCCTGATCTGATCTGATTGGATCTGATCTGATCTGATTAAATCTGATCTGATCTGATTGGATCTGATCTGATCTGATCTAAACTGATTGGATCTGATCTGATCTGATTCGATCTGATCTGATCTGGTCTGATCTGGTCTGATTCGATCTGATCTGATCTGATCTGATTCGATCTGATCTGATCTGGTCTGATCTGATTTTAATAAGAATAAGAAAAAATAAGAAAAAATAAGTTGAACGGAACGGGGCCTTAATCATGTAAATAAATGAAACACTCCAAATCATTTTCACTTTTAAAAATTACATAATAATCACATTGTTACACTGGCACTTTCACTACATCATCACATTGCAGCTGTCACACTATTACTGTCGTCACACTGCCATCTGTCGCTGCCGATAACCAGAATGCCGCCGTCGATCACTGATGGTTGACTGATCATGTTGCTACAATGTCAACACGTGCATTTACATAGGTGCATGGATGGGCGTGCTCCCCACCAACAAGACTCCGTCTGCGATTTGCTACGAATTTTAAGGTGAAGCAGAGGAGTTTCAAAACCGACAATCTTCTGCTACGATGGTGGGAAGTCAGTCAACCCTTAGAAGAAGGAAAGCTTGCCAAAACTTTTGAAGGGCCATACATAGTCACAACGGTTATTCAAACGAGGGCTTACAAGCTAAGCATCCTCAAGGACCGTCAGGTCTATTGACACTAGAATGTAGAGAATCATATAGCTTTTACGCATGATCGACTAAATGAGTATGCGATTACGAGATTTCATGATCTAATGCACCCGCGACTGATCTGTCATCACCTCTACACACTTCAAAATAATTAATAAAAGTTCAAGTTTCATCCAGCTCATGTGTATTCATCATGTTCACTCATTACTTTCTAGAAGCTCGAGTTCAGCGGCTTCTCAACTAAACTTGAGGTCCAACTTAGCTAAGTTAAAGGGATACCTACGCTAGCAAGGAATAACTTTGGTCTAACTCCAGTTAGATCACTATTAGCTGGTTTGTCCAACCCCTTGGAAACAAGGTCTTCCAAGTGTCCTCTAAGGGGAGGTAAGTCTCAAAGAGCAAACTTTGAGAGGGTGCTCTAATGTGGACAAAGAACGTATGCACGAAGAGGTCCCAGTTCCACAAACGGACAAGGCATTTAGATGAAAGCGCATGTATGATCGGGGAAGACAAGTGATACTTGGTGAGTCACACGCGCGTGCACACCAAACTTAGAGGAAGCAGACGAGTTTTCCTCCCCTCGGCATCACGAATCCTGCAAGCTTTGTAACACCCAACTAGCGGAACCCGAACACATGAGTTAACAAATCGAGTTGCTGCTAAATTGGTATCCACATACAATATTTTCCTAAAAAATTAAAAAATTTTAATTCAAAACCCAAACATTTTAGAACTATTTGATACTTACCGAAGTTTATACAAATAGTGCAGAAGCTAAGTTGTTATTTAATCAAAGACCACTATGATATTATTATTAGAAAATCATTCATATTAAAAATGCATCGTATTAATAAACCATTTGAGTTCTAACATCCAAACATCTCCTCCGTCATGCTTCCCTCCAGAATGGATTCTAGATTCATCCTTTCCATGATTACCTACGTGTAGCAAAGATGAAAAAGGGCTAGACGCTCAGCAATGAAGCTGAGTGAAAAATATCCAACATTCGAATATACATAGAGGCGAATCCACTAATTCATAATTATCACATGATATCATGCACACAAGCATATCATATACAACATCATAAGTATCACATACCAGTGTTCATCATTAACAAACATAAACATTACCTTTTAATTACATTAATCATCTGGCTTTATCTTCTTACTAAGCTCATAACCTATTCTACGTTAAGGCTTATCCTTATAACTTTCCTATGGAGTGATGACATTCCCCTTCAGAACGAAGGTCACGCTCAAACCAACTTGGAAGTTCCTCGTTAGGTGGGTGAGATCCCTGTCCCCTTCGAAATAGCAGTTCATAGATCCCACATGCGTAAGTCTTTACTCGAATAGCTATTAGACCCAGCGAGTACCACAAGACTTCTAACCTTTTTATTCTTATGACATACCTTGCCACTATTTTGTTTAGGTCAATCCTAGAGTTCTTCTAGGTAAACTATTTCAATCACTTACTCCTTCATTCATAAATTCCACAATATCATCAATATGGTCAACATATACATACACACACACAGATATATATATATATATATATATATATATATATATATATATATATATAGGGGACGGTTCAGGTGAGAATGCACCTTGGTGAAAGAAATAAGAATAAAATCTAGCCTTTGGATCTGATGCATCGTGCGGCTCAGATTGCATCCTGCACTCAGATTTTGAGATAGTGCATTTTTAAAGGATTTTGGTGCATTTCGACATGATGCATTTTCAAATCATTTTGGTGCACCTAATTTTGATGCAATCCTGACCCTTAGATCTCACAATCTAGAGCACCAGATTCATTCTTATTTCTTTCATAAGATTGCATTCTCACCTGATCCAAAATCTATATATATATATATATATATATATATATATATAGATTTTGCACCAAAGAACTTCGAAAAGTAGTTCAAGAATTTCAGGTTTTAGTGTAGGTAATATCTTCAACATTTTCATGATTATTGTCAGAACCGTCACCTAGATCATAATCATCATCGTCATAACTATCTTGAAAGCAAACTTTGTTATTAGTTGGCATGTGAATTCGGAGCAAGTTATGTGATAGAACACATGCCAAAACAATATGACCTTGAGTGCGTATAGGGAAAAATGAAGGGCTCTAAGTATTCCCTATCTCCCTTTCAAAAGGTCCAAAGCAATGTTCAATTTCATTTCTTCGGTCATATTGAAATATTCTTCGTCAAATATTGATATATAAACCCCCACTCACAGCTTGTATATCTAGCGTCTACCAAGTAATATGTAACTTCAAATGTGTAAGTTTTAGGATTATTTATAAATATCAAAATTTTGTAACGAGCATAATAATTGTACATTAGTATGGTTATACCTTAAGATACTTTTAAAGCATTTAGCATAGAAAGTGCATCTCGAAGGACGCATACATCATGTGCAAAACCTTCCCAACCTGGTAACACATAAATGAACTCCATGTTAGGCGTGCAAGGGCCTAAAACATTCATGAATTAAGCTATGTGTATCCCAAGATTTGTACCCCAATTTGTACCCCGCAAGTTTGCATCTTCATTTTGTGTCAGTGTAATGCTATGATGATAATTCACATAGACACAAAATGTTAGTGCAAATTTTTATTAATACACCAGTATTTTGTGTTAGTGTGAACAATAAATACACCAGCATTTAGTGCAAATGTTAGTGTATACCTTTGGTGTAATTTTGGGGTACAATTTTTGGTGTAAGTGTAGCATGATCCAACATTCATGGCAACATTTCCTCTCCTAGTATGATACCTTGGTTTATCCTTAACTGGCACATGCACTTCAATGTAAGTACCATCTAGGGCACCCAAACAATTCTGTTTCAAAAAATAAATAAAAACATGTTAGAAGTATATACTTTAAAAATTTCTTTACTTAAAACATATTTACCATTTGTTATATTACCTTGAAATATATATATCCATGGACTATCTTCACAATCTTCAGAGTTTGGTGTATGTTTTTTTCAGCAGGTATGGGTGCAAGCTCAATATCGCAAGAAGACATTGATAAAAACATCTACTAACAATTTCCTCACTACGATAAAAAGTTGTCCCGATTGTCCTATTCTTGAATTTGTGGGCCAATGTATACAAAAACATAACCATAGTCTCTTCTAATGACATATGTCTAGAGCCAGTTAAACCATCCCACCACTATCTCTAAGCATTTCACACAACATATACGAGGTGTGCCTATTCATTCAAAGTTCCGACTATTACTTTCTCTTATTAAGGCGTTCAAATTGTTTAATATCCACTGTTTCTTTCCCTAAAAGGTAGCTTCAAAGTTTGTTTTTCATGTGCAACAGGTGTCATCATCAACCACATAAAAATTACTAAAATGAATGCATTAGTAAATGACAAGATCAAAGAGAGCATTCACACTTGTAATGGTTTCTTCTTTCTCACAAACAATATTTCACGAGATGAAACCATATTCTATTAGAACAATAAGACACCAACAATTAAGAACAGAACAAAAAAGAATATCAACAAGCTGTCGTTGTATATATTTTCAAAGACAACCAATAAACAAACATAGATGTCAACAAAACAAATAAATATAAAATTTGCATCGCAAACTGTTTAAAAACAACAATAAACCATACTTTATCAAACATTGATTTACATACAATTCATAACAAAACAAATAAATACTCCCTCCGTCCCATAAAACATGGGAGTTTTGGTTTTGGAGAGGGATTTAAGGGGAGTGTATTTTAGTATTAAATTTCGAAAAATGTCCTTTGATGTGATGGGTAAAAGTATGATTTGATGGATAAATTATTAGTAAAAAGGTATGATATGATAGGTAGGGTATGAAAAAGTAAGGGGTAAAAGTGACTTTTTAATAGAAAAGAGAAGTGTTTTTTTGGGACGGATGAAAAAAGAAAGGAGAAAGATTTTCTGGGACGGAGGGAGTATGAAATTTGCATCCGAAACAATATTAAAAAGCATAAAACATGAACAAAAAATAGTTTAAAAACAATTAAAAAGCTCCAAGTAATACCCTTGTAGTGAATAAAACACACAAATAGCTATAAATATATTTTAAAAAATTAAACGCAAGAAAGTTTAATTCGAAAAGATGCGGTCTTTCTGCAATCTAATTGTCATGAATATTTTGTTTTTTGAAAATTTAGTCTTTGCTTCTTGATTGAACAAATTTAATTTTTTTTAAAAATAATCGACATACTTTTTTTATTCAACAATATAATCAAACCAGAAGATTGGTAAAAAAATTGAAGAAAGAGATACTATTTCGGATTCAAAGAATTTTAAAAAATTAATTGAAAAAATAGGGGAAAAAAGAAGAAAAAGAAAGGAGAGAAAACAATAAGCATACCTTATTTGAAGAAGAGATGAGAAGGATGCAACAACACAGAGATGCACATGCGTAGAGAAGAAAAATCATCAAAGAGAAGAAACCCCTTTTTTGAGTTGGAAAAACTAATTTCCAATTACTCCGTTTCTTCCAATTTCCCCTTTTTTTAACTCTTTCAAATTTCTTCCAACAATGATTTAAAAAAGTATTTATATATGGTGATTATACAATAACATTATATATCCAAATTTCTTACATACCACCTCAAATACGGATGAAGATGAATTCTTTTTTTATATCCAAAATTATTTTCTTACATATTTGTTTGGGTGATCATTTAATTAAATAATTTTTTAAGACTCTAATTCTTTCAACCTTTTCTAACTCATTCGAGTTTCTTTCAGCTCTATCCAGTTTCTTCCAACATCCAACTCTGAAATTCCAACTCAAAAGAATAGGGCCGAAGAGTCCACTTGATCGCCAGACTTACACAACTTACGCCAAGAGTCGAAAAAAATAATTCCTATTTCTCATTTACTTGATGTCTGAAAAATAAAAGTGAAATTTGTTCTAAATAATAATAAAACATATGAATCCAATTATATTGAATTTATCTTAAAAATAAATTTCTTTTTTACAATTTATGGTCAAAGTGTGTCACTGTTTGAACAAAAAGGTCAAAACAGGAACGTTTTCCGATCCAGGACGGAAGTAGTATTATTTTCCAAAATGCTTCTTGAAAATACTCCGTAGTACTTTAGCAATTATTTAGAATTTTGTTAGAAACTCTTCTAATTTTAAAGAAAAATACTGTAGCAAGGAAGTTACAACAAAGCTAAAAGAGCACGCTGAAGCTATTATAGGCCTGTTTGGAAATAGCGTTAGAGATTAGCGTTGGCGTTTTGAAAAGACTATCAACGGACAGTGTTTAGCGTTAGCGTTTTCAAAGTAATCTGCACTATTAAAATTTTATCCAAAACGTTAACGCTATTTCCAAACATGCTTTATATAGAATTAATGAAAATTCACTAACTAATTAAGAATGCCGAAGGAATCAAGAAATTGATGTTGAAGATGCCAAATGGAAGGAAATAGATTTGGGCCAAAGCTTTATTGAAGATCAATTGAAATAGAGATTTTTAAGTGCCTTCAAAAAAAAGAGATTTTTAAGACTTTTTATTTTTATCCGAGTCTTAGAAAATATTTCCAAAAGTGATGGAAATATTTTTCTACAGTACTCTTGAAATATTTTTCACATAAAAATGAGTAAGTTGAAAAATGATTTTCGATCAGTTTAGAAATTCTTTATTGAGTCAATTAAAAAATGTGTAACGTTTTATTCAATTTTTTTTTCATATTCAAAAAAAATAGTTTATTCAAAATACTTCAAACATCATTTAACATAGAAAAAATTGAAAGATTTTTAAGGATGAGAACAAAATAGGATTCCTATAAGAGAAACAAAAAATATATGGGTGAAAACAAAATAAACACGCACTTATAAACATGCAGAACTTAAAGAGGACAAAGAAATAAAAATACCTATTTCTTGTGCATGTATACATGAATGTATACATCAAAAGTTAATGTCATAGACAAAGCTAAACTTGCATTCCTACATTTGTATTCCATTTAATAATCTTACAAATTGTGTATGAGTTTTTCTAGCTAGTAGTGCTGAGAAATTAAAGAGAAGAAAACACAAGAATTAATCCTAAAAGAATACCTATTTTTGCCTGTATGTTCATTTGAAAATGCTATACATTAACATGCTTAAACTATATACTCCCTCCATCTAAAAATTATCTTCTCATTGCGTGTTAGTACGTTACGATATTTGATTGAAGTTATTTTCAAATCATTTGGAAAGAAATGACGTAAAATTTAAAAATAAAAATTATATATTTAAAAACTAAATCAAAAGATGGGGTGATGTGATTATATTATTTTATCAAATGAGAATCGAAAATAAGCCAACAAAGTGAATATGTTTGACCTTGTAAATAATGAATGAGAAAATAATTTTTAGACAGATGAAGAAGTATATGGGGAAAAAATTTGTATGAAAACATATCCTAAGATAATAATATAATGAGTTTAATTAAATGTACTTGGTTTGCAGCCAACAATTGGTGGGGTGGCTGACATAAAAATTGTTGGTTCCTCTATCGGCAGCGCATGTTGGTCTTGATTTTCCGGCCGACGGTCTTTATGATCACCTCCGGCAGGTGCAAGGTTGAGATCTAAATTCAAAGAGTCTCCATGATTATCCTTTTGAAACACCCTTTTCTCAAAGCTGCAAGAGGCGACCGTGGCGACGGTGGCGGCACCGCGGTGGCGCCGCATGTGGCCGCCGAGCGCCTGACCGGAGGTGAATTCCGCGCCGCAATAGGAGCACTCGTGAATCCTCGGAGAGGATTTGGCGGAATCGTTGAGATGGAGGGGGGAGAAAGAGGCTCTGGCAGTCTTGTTGGGCGGGGACGGGTCGTAGTCCTCGTCCCCGCCGTCGTAGAATGCCAAAGCCGCCGGCCTCTTTGCAGCCTCGATCGCCAACACGGGCTTCTCCTTCGTGTGGCTCGTGCGATGCCCCCCCAACGCTTGAAACGTCGGGAACGTGCGCCCGCAAGTCTTGCATTCGTAGACGTACATCCCGACTTTCGCGCCCCCGCCCACGGTGCTCGTCTCTACGTACTTTTTGCTGCAGAACTTGCTACCAACATAATTGTTGTTGTTGTTGTTGTTGTTATAAGCGCCAATGTCGTCCTCCTTGTATGAAGGAGTCCCACCGCGGGACAAGAGCATGAGGCAACGAGCCATATCTTCGTCCTCAGCGGTGGGCGGCGTGTCGTGGAGGATTAATGCAAAGCCACCTCCGGAGGCAGAAGCACCGGAGGCGGTGTTGTCATCGTCTCCGGCGGCGGAGGAATGGGGTGATGGAGTTACCATGGTGAAAGAGATGATAGGAGAATGGGGCTTGGAGCGTTTGGTTCTTTTGCCCTTGTTGGCAATGGGGAGGGAGAGATCATTTGGACCTCCGACGACCACCTCCTCTAGGGCATCCATTTCTATCTCCTCCTCCCTCGCACCACCCAAACCAAACTAACAAAAAATCTATATAGATTGAATGAAAGGTATAAAAACAATAGGGAAAGAGAGATGGGAGAAAGACATAGACTTTTAAAATAAAAATTACAATTGTGAATGAAAGGGGTTTATAAGTCAAATTTTAAAAAATTCACCCAAACAAAGAGTAATAACGACTAAGGAAAGACTTGGTCTCCCAATTATTTGGAGCCAAATGAACAAAATTCAAGGCGCATTATATGCATGGTGAAATTATCATATAGTGAGATCCTATGTGTACCATATATGAATACTTTTAAGTAGGTCATTTTTATATGGGATGCATCATGTGGATACGGTAGGCACCATTGGTTCATGGACACTATTTGAAACACGATTACATAGACACAGATATAATGACATAACAATTTAAAAACCCAAAAGACACCACCGCATAGTGGTCTTACACCAAACATTTTTTTGCATAAAATTATTACACCAATTAAATCGGGCACCTATGAATAGGCCTAGGCCTGGACACTGTATGGTTTTAGTCCAGTTTCGGTTCTAGAATCAGTGATTCCAGTACCACCAGGTGGTGGACCCGCATCTCGCACCCTTTTGATGGCGGTGATGGTGCCAGTTCTAGAACTGATGGTGACAATTATTTAAAGAGTGATATATGGCTAAAATATATCTCCAAATGTAATACTTATTTATACAAAATGAAAGTTGGATAATGCATAAGTCTCTACTACATTTAAAACTAATTTAGAATCATTAAAAAAAGCTAAGTAAGTCAGCCGCTCAAACTACCACTTTCCTCCGAGGTTGCATCCATGTAGCTTTGAGTTTCGATGAAGTACCCCGCCTTTTGTCGTCGACGCCTTGCCAATAGCCTATCTCGGATGCAAACCAGTGTCTCGAGTGATTAAGCACTGAGGCAACTCCTGTTCCACGGCCACCATTGACACCTACATAGATAACACCTGTCTAGCTAGCATTCCAAGTGACACGAACATGTGTTCATTCCGTTTTTACCATTCGAGGACGTCAAACTCATTTTTGTTATCTTCATCGTAGTCGCATGAGACGCCTTGGTACATCGCAAGTTCATTTTGTGAACTTACTGTTGTACCACTTAAATTTGTAAAAGTCTAGGTACTCCTACTTTTCTTTGACAAGAGGCTAGGCCACCAGGATCCCTTTAAAACTTTTCTTTACCATTCAGCAGGAGAAACTTGTGTCTCCTATGGAGGGTTATAGTATGAATAAAAGACGCAAAAAGGTCAATAACAATATCCCTATCCCTCTTCTAGTCAATAATATTCTCATAATAATGAGGAGAATTTACTTAAATAGTGCTAAAACATAGTGATTTTCCCTAAATAGCATCATATATGTTTTTTTCCAATGTAGCACTTTAAGTCATTATCCATTAGTCATTATTCAAGTAAATATTCACCATCACTAGACATTATTCTTCTTTCTAGGCATTATCAAGTGTTATTTAGGGAATAAAACAGTCAAAGTGCTATTTAGAGAAATAGGTTAAGCTTTATTACTATTTAGTGCAAATATTTCTAATAATGATCATTTTTGTCTAAAGTACAACTATAGTTGTAGTCCATAAGAATTTTGAAATTCTCAGTCTTAAAACAGGATATAATCATAGTTTTAAAAACCGGACCGGTCCGGCCGGTTCAGACCGGGAATCATCTGGTGACCAAAACGGTCCAGTTCGGAACAGAAGACCGGCCTCAGCTACGAACCGGCGTGAACCAGTCAAAACCCGAAAGAACCACCCGTGAGAACCGGAAACTGGTCTTTTTTTTTTTGAAAAATCTTTCAAAATAAAACCTTGAAAGGATTCGAACCCTAGATCTCCTGGTCTACAAATTCACCCGCCAACCGCCTTAGCTGGATTCACCTTGTGACGTACAATGCATAAAGTGGTAAAATATAATATATTTTTTAATTTAGAAATTTTTTAAAACTGATTTCTTTTCATAAAACATTAAAAAATATAATATTGTAACTATGATTTAAACTTTTAACTACTTCGTATTCTACAAATACATAGTACATATCAATGCAATATTCAATTTAAAAAGTTTTGAAAACATTGAACAAATTATTGAAAAAATAAAATCTCCTATTTTATAAAATTTTTCATATAATTTTTAAATATTTCATAGTATATAATTTTATCAATTTAATTCTACTATTCAAATTAATTAAACTGTTTATAACTTTAGTCATACTCCATATATCATAAATAACTTATTTTTAGATAGAACAAGTATGCTTGTAAACATGTCGGTCCGGTTCTGAAAACTATGGATGCATATAATACTAATTTTGTAAATATCAAGAATATACAAGTACTAAGTACACCACTTTTCCTTCATAGGGAACACATAGGGATACCTTGGTGGACCAGACAAAGTTTCAAAAAAACATGTAGCAAATCTAATACACTCAAAAAAGAATCTGTTACTCGTATGCTTGTAAACATGAAGAAAAATAAATTTGCATTATTAAAAATGTCTAACATGTTCAAATTTTCAACAATAATAAATTCATTCAAATCAATCACATGAGAAAGTTCAAACTTAAGAAAGGAAGAAAATTTTTCTTTATACCTCAAAATCTCTGTAACCTCACTGATTGAACTCATGAGATTTATGCTAAGGCTTGTTTATGACCCTAAGTACTCGAAATATTTGACGTAGTCCATGGCGTCATTCATGTAGGATGGCCGAGACAAGGTGTCTCGGTTGGGAGACTTATGAGCTTGAACTATCGGACGTGATGGTGATTTTTTTTTTGGAATTTTTCTGGTTCAAATTCCTCATATCAACAGATCATTCATGTGACATTTTGTATAATATACAACTTTATATAGATAACATCCCCTCTGTCTGGAAATAATCTTCTCATTCTATGTTTTTTTCTGTCTGAAATTAACTTCTCATTCTACCTTTTTTTCCAACTCTTCTAAAAATATCCTTCTCATTAAATATTCTTTGTTTCTTTTAATTTCTTCTTTTCATTCTTTTTTTCTTTTCTTTCTTTTCTTCTTTTCTTTCTTCTACTTTCCTCCGCCACTCCTCCATCTCTTTTTACATCCGCCTTTCTTCCATCTCATCCTCACTTTCATTTCTTCAATCTCCACTGCCTCTTCCTTTCATTCGAACCTTCAGTTGTTCCATCTCCTCCTCCTCCTTCTCTTCTCCTCTCTCTCTCTCCCTCTCCATATATCTTATTATTTAACTCCCCCACCTTTCTTCTAGATCTATGCCATGGCGATGATGATGGCGACTAACGTGATGGTGAATCTAGATCTATACTTCTTCTTGTTATTTCTTTTAGATCTACACTATCGCCATTTATCCTCGTTATTTATTTTAGATCTGTGCCATGGTGACAGTGATGGTGGGATTGAGGGTGATGTTGGGGCTAACACAGATGGTGGGGATGCTGAGCGTGGTGGGGCTAGCGAAGATGGTTGGAGCAAGGGTGGCGAACGGAAAATGGTGTGACTGAAGTTGGCGGTGGGGGTTGGTGAAGAAAGTCAGAACCAAGGGCAGCGACAAGAGATATGCTGATGGTGGTGTTGGTGGCGGTTGGGCTATGGGAAGGATGGCAAATGAAGAGAGGGCAGTTTAGATAGTTTAAATCAATAGTCATCCTTTTATAAAATGTAGAAATATCAAACTGGGAATTTTATTTCCAAATGGAGAGAGTATAATAATAGAATAGATTTATATTATTGATGATTGAGTGTTGCGCTAAGTCAACCTTCCCAATGAAGGGTTAGTTTTCTTCGAATGTCGTGTCTCTTGAGGAGTGGATGAATGAAATTAGCTAATTATTCTAACTAGACAAAGGTTTGGAAAGGTCTGAAAGTCTTCTTGTTTTAATTTGAAAATAAAAATAAACTAAACTACTAAGTTCTTTTTAGAAAAATAAAATTAATAACACAAGTATTGGACTAGACTTTGGGGCAAGGCATTATCTGGGTTAACTACTGTTGTCATATATTTAATCAAGAATTGGAATAATAATATTTTTGTCAAAATTATTTCATTAACTTATCCTTTCTCAAGGTATCATTAATATGTTCCAAAAAGTTTGGCTTATTTAATTTTATATTCTCATAGACAAGCCAAAAACTAATTTCTAATAATTATTTAATTTTTCTCTCGACATAATTATTTTAACAATAAATAATTCTAGAACAATTATTCCAACGATTAAATAAGCATACAGAGTATAAGCCCGAATTTAGTCAGGACTCTCATTTGGGTCCTAACCCATACAAAATATTAACTCAACATGGAATACAAACATTTTATTAGAAGTTGTAAAAATAAAATTACAACCGAAAGCAGAGTCGGTGCCACTTTAGGACAACCGGAACAAAACTAAAATAAAATATTAAAATATAATTGAAAACGGGAGCTAGAGAGGAGGTCCGAGCCTTAGAAGACTCGGAATTGGTTGGTTGGAGAATGGAGGGGCGAAACCCTCCTTTTATATGAAAATATCGGTCCAGGCCCGGCAAGCTTGGGCATGAGGTCCAGGCGGGGGCCTGTCCGAGGCCTGGGCTTGTCGGCCATTCGTCAACAGGTATGTAAGTCCGGCGGGGGCTTGAGACAAATTCTTGATTTTCCGTGATTGAATTTATGATATGCTTTCGTCAGAGGTCCAGGCATCCGGCTGGCGTGGGCCTGTCCGGGGCCTGAGCTACTTTTCGGCCCAAAACTTTGTTTTCACCATTTTCTTCAATTTTTTTTGCTTCTAGGCTTGTGATCTTTATTTTAAAACAGTTTTCTTTAAGTTTGACCTCAATTCTCTTGATGTTATGCATTTTCCAACTTTCACCCTCTTTTGTATAACTTTTGACTCAACTTTAATTCTTTTTACAACAAGACATAACTTTTGTGTAATTTTTACAATTATAAACAAAAACATATAAAAATCATTGATAAATTGTCTTATTTAATCCAAAACTGGACAATAACAAATTAAATATAGAGAAGATAAGTGCATACAGAATGGACTTATCAAATTTCCCACACTGCTTGCCCTCAAGCAACAGAGTACAACAAGAATGAAATTCTAGACCAAACACTTATTAACAAAAGGTTTTGGAAAAACTTTCGACCACACTTTTAAACAGTTTGTTGCACTAAACTCTTTTACATAATTTAATCTTTACAAATATAGGATTACTAGAAATAACAGCCTTTTATAAAACTTATTAGTGAACTATATTCTTTTTGTTTTTCTAAAAG